GTGTGTGTGTGTGTGTGCTTGTAGACGAGCGTGGTGCCAACGACACAACAACAATAACAGAGAATGGGTGAATTGGGATACAGAACAGAGTGAAAAGAAGGTCCAAAGTTCGAGTCCGGCAAGCATCAACCAACTTTGGTGGTACACAGCTTTACTATTGCCCAGTTCAATACCGCATCTAACCTAGGGGGCCGCCATTCCAAGTCCCGTTGCTTAGGTTAACGGTTTCCCTCATTGAACAGCAATTCTTCGTGACTATAGGGCTATGCCCGTTTCTGTTCATCACACAAAAGGTGTGCAATAAAAATGTGAGAATCCATATCTGTATTTGTTAGTTTTGCTCTCGTTGCCGGGGATTTCTTTGACTTCCCATGTTTGAACCTATACAGCGCCATTTTTGGGGGATTTTTCCTACTTTCCGATATTCTTTCTCAGGAAACACCGGTTACGGTCGTGGCCAAAACCAGATCTCAAGTTTCCCGACCTCCGAATGCAGCGAATGTCTCGAAGGATACTGCTAGTAAGCCGATAACTGTAGTTCGTCGAGGCACCAAGCGGTCTACCATATCGACGGATACGTCTTTAGAAACTGTTTCCCGTACAGTTTGGCGACGGCGTGGCACTGTCAAACAAACACCTACAACGATCGCATTGAACAGTCTTGATGCATCAACTGTCACACCGGCTCCCGCACGGAAAGCGTCACAGCTCAAACGGCCTTTGGCAAATACGACATTTTTAAGGTACGTTTGCGACTTTATTGCGGTTCGTTTGTTGTATTCCGTGCTTCCAAGGATAATACCTTCGATTGTTTCCTTTATTTTATTGGACACTGTCTTTCAGCCAGGCCCATCACATTACCTCGTAAGCTGCCCTTCGCAGTTGCATTTAAATTCGTTCTATTGTTTGCTGATACGTTGCAGCTTCGTTAGTCTGTTTCACTGGACCTTGTCTTTGCCCCTCAGGTTATCCTTCATTTCAGGGATTTTACTACCACTTGAATGACAGATTTCTCTTTTCTTGGTGTACCGGCGATGTATATGCGTCCACCATCTTTTCTATTTCAATTATTTTTCAGTCAGGACGAGCCTATTGCTGCTCGTCTTCGGGTGCGTTCTACTCAAATGTCTTACTTGGAATCGAACATGACTCGGTGAGTCCCGTTTGTAGTTTTACTTCACCTAACAAATAAGTTTTTTTAAATTCGGTCCTCGTCCCGATCATCTGCTGATCAGTATCTTGCTTCATCAAGCCTATCACTGACATGGATAAACTGATGTGTTGATTCCCTACAGATGTGTGTGCTATTACACGGTTCAGAACTAGTGCACCATGCTTGTCTTTTCTCACCGCTAAACGCATCCCGAAAGGAGAGATAATATTAGAAGATAGGTGGATTTTTTGGGAATGTTCTTCATTACGGTTCTTCAATAAAAAGTACGAATTTTGTGCCGGTGCCAACGTAACAACAGTCGTAATATGAGTGATGGGTTTGAGTGCAGGCAAGTGAAATGAAATGTTTCACATTCAGTTTCAGTTTGTACAACCATTAACCATGCATTTTTGTGCGCTGGTTTTGGTTGCTGTCCATTTGGATGAACAGTGGGAGAAAGACAGGCAAATTGAAAGCAGAGTAGAAGAGAAAATGAAGAATTTCAGTGAACTATCGTTGCGAAGAAATTGGGAAGATGCATGAACACCGTCGTTTACGACCCTCAGCCATATCACTCAGTGTCTCCAACCACCTGTTAAGTTTATCCCGAGGTTCCCAGCCAGGGAACCTAACGGGACCTATATCAACGAGTCTCCTGATTAGGGTTTTCATACCTTCGTGCTAGGTCTTATTTCTACCACCCTTCTCTTTTTTCCACCCACTATCTGCCTCGGGAAACATAGCGCACCGTGGCAAAAAAATGTCAAGCTCGTGTGTACCACGAAAACCACGTTTACTGTTTGGTCCCATGGGTTTTCATCTTCCTTTTTGGGATACGGAGTCAATTCTCTTACTGCATCATTACCAAACACTTGTTCCATCCCAGACTATTGGAGACCGATTACAGTTGATCGCATTCCTAAAAAAATAATACTCGCGTTCTAACCAAACGCTTTCTCTTCTATCACTTAAATTTCTTGAACAAAGATCGACACTGCAAGCAAGCACTATTTAATTCCGGAATCATTTCGCTGCATCTCAGCTGGTGCTTACTGCAGAAACAAAATAGTTTATATATTACAAGTCATGACAATCTAACATGATATCAATTCATTCTTCTGCTTACGTGGTCACCAGAGCAACACCAGACTAATGTAGATCTCCTGCTGACACAGTAAGGGTTTTCGGCGCTTGATTGTTATGGCCTCTACAAATCTTAGCAGTCGTCCATTCGGGGTTGTGTAAACAATCCGAAACGAAGTTCCACGATCAGTTTGGTGGCCAGTCTGCAACAGATGGCGTGCAATTGTTGATGCAGATGCCCTGAGACTGGCTTGATGGCATGGTTGTTTGTGTAGCGCTCAATCTCACCCGCTCGCGTTGGACCCATACCGATATGTGTTCGGCCATTCGGGTACGCAGCTGCCTCTCTGTTCTGCCTACGTAGGTAGCTCCGCACTCACATTAAAATTCATAGATTACATGCGATTTGGCGGATATGGAGAGCGGTGATTTCATCAAGGGCTTCAGAATCTGGGTTGTTGAGACGCGAACGACCGGTAGCGTTGAACAATTTTTCGCTCTCACCTAATTCTTCTTTCCCATCTGATCCGGTATCGAACAACTCTGAAGCAGTATGCCGGCTAAGCTGTGTCGAATACCTGGGATTTTTTTTATCAAAGAAAATCTTCATGGCACCTCTCACATTCGACAAATCGTCACTAAGCTATGAGAGCTGTTTTCTCTACAGTGTACACTTACGACTGGAATAGAACTGGCACGCTTAAAGGAGGCGTAATTACAATGCAATACAGACGACATTTTCAAATTTTTGTAGCTTGTGATACACAAATTTTTTCTGTGCAATTTGTTCTTGTTGATACACAAGCATTTATGTTCTTTTTTGTGTGTACTATGATTTTTTCAGAATCCAAGATAAGCTAGTCTTCTCAGTCATATGTGCACTTGTATTAAGTTCATACACATTTTTCTCTTTTGTACCCCCCCCCCCCCGTTTTCAATATCATTATTATCATTGCGTTGGCACTACGCTTGTTTGCAAGCCTGTTCACTTTTCATCTATCTTCACAAATTCTTAGAACCTATTCTTTTTATTTTCAGCCATTCGAGGAAATGATTATCTGTTCGCGATTGTGTCATGTATTTCCCTCCCTGAACTATCTATCTCTTTGCGTGCCATGTATATCTGTGTAATTAATCTATGCAAAAAGAAATACTTCTATACTTTCCGTGATGTTCTCACTCCCATTATCGAATCATGGAGCCTGCGGTTTTGAAGTGTTCGCAATAAACTACCGTCATGATCACCTGACAGAATAATAAACCCAATGGGGAAAGGCGTTATCCTCATGATATTGTAGCTGAAATACAGGGGTCAGATATATTCTTATGATTTTAGTCAACTCTCACATCGAGATAAAACATCAAAAATGCGAGAAACTGGTGATGATTAAAAACGGTTATCCATTTTGATTTACAAGAATTGCACGTAAAACTGCTCGCCTAGCCGTCAAAATGCGAAATAAAACAGTAGTTTTGAATTACAATTAGGCAGAATGCCCGATAGCTCGATTTAAACCAGGGTTTGTTAGTCAGAAGTTACGTAGACAGATTTATGTCGAGGTAACTTTTGGAGTCCTCGAAGCCCCAACAAAGTTTATGCAAAAAGCACAATCGGTTGATTGGAGTGTTCATGGGGACGTGTGATACCGCCGACCATTGCGGAGAGTACCACGACCCCTTTAAAGTAGAATAGGTCAAGGATAAAGTGAGATAAACTGCACTTTGATGTGAGATCCTGCGTATCTACATTACCTGAAGAGTTATAAAGGATGGTTTCTCATAGTGGCAGATCCAGTCGCGCATGCTTTCAGTTCAAATCGGTATAAGCAACCGTAGACCATGCACTTTCTTGAGGTAGCTTTTGGTTGCTGCTTTCGCCTGCCCATTTCTATGTGGGAACAAAGATGAGAATGTGGACAGTACTGTCAGGGTGAGAGTAGATGAGTCATATACGCTAAGGCTACAAGAAAATTGAGTAACGCTATAGTTTACGGCAGTCAGTCATATCACTCAGAGTTTTCAACTATCGGTTACACTGATCCCGGTCCAGCTACCTACATGACCTAGTCTATTGTTCAGGGTTTTCATACCCCCATGCTGGGTTTTAGTTTAACCACTACTTTTTCCACCTATTATCTTCCTCGGAAAACATCACGGGCTGTGACAACCTATTTGGTCACATACCGCAACCAGCGTTCTCTTTTTTATTGTATAATATGATTTGAAGCAAAAGGGGTCACTGGTCAGTGACAAGCTGTAAGGTTGGAAAGTATGTGAGGAAACATTCAAGTGAGAATTAGTTTGATAACTTTTGATCTTTCGAAACGAGTAAGATCATGGGTGTTTTGAAATATGAAAATGGGAAGTGTCTCACAATTTCGCAGTCCTAGGAAAAAGAGTACTGGAAGATAGGTTCGACTTCTGGGAACGGAAACCTGACTGCCCGGCAGAGAATGAGAAAAGGTCAAGGGAGAGGAACCGCTGAGGCGAGTTCAGAAGAACAGAAGCCAAAATAGTAACGATGGGAAAGAGACGAAGAAGAAAATTCTCAGCGATGGGAAAGCGAATGTAAGTTCGAAGTCAGCCGATTCGTCGATCAGCCGGATAGCCTTACGTTGAACACGGTTGAGGAGGGAAAGAGCGGAATACGAAGCTCCACCACATACGTGACTGCAGTATTCGAGCATCGGACATTAGGGCTTTGTATAATAGGTGCTTTGGTGTAGAGGATCGCCCGGCACGGAATGGAAAACGGACTTTGCACGCAGCGGGAGAGGCGAATGTGGAAGTAAAACGAGTCTATGAGAGAAGAATTTATGGATAAACCCAAGAGGAAGAGAAAATTTGTGGAACAAGAGGGCAGATTGTCAAAAATCAATTTGGGAGAATAAGGGACATGTTTGGGGCGGACGGAGACGAGAGAAGTTTTGGAAGCATTGAAACACATGGTTTATAGTGCCCCATATGGAGATTAGTCCGTGATCGGAGGCAAGAGAAGCACTTATGAAATTACGATTGTGGTTGGTATTGGCAGCTTTTTTATTACGAACCCTGTGTGTGGTGAACAGCAGTCAGGGCGGACCCCATAGTCACGAAGACCTGCTGTTCAGTGGTTGTAACCGGCAACCTAAGCCCCGGAACTTGGAGTTGCGAACCACACGAGGCCCTGCCAGCTCAGGCGTGGTATAGAACGGGCGATAGCAATGCTGCCTACCACCAAAGTTGGGTGGCGGGGCTTGAACTTCGGACCACAGGGTCCAAAGCACGCCGGCGACAGCGACTAAACCATTGAGCCACCACCAGCCAAAAGCTAGGAAGCACTGGACGGCTGCTTCGAGCTGGTTGGGTCTCATAGGCAGTGCGAGAATCCATCGACCCAATTGGGGCTGGAAGCCGCGACCTCACGAGTTGAACGCAAGCATCCTACCGACTCGGCTACCGGGAAGCCTGACGGGTTGTGTAGTAAGAAAGAGAACAATGAGCGGTACCATGGACAAAACAATGAACGGGATTATAGGTTTTTGACAAAAGATTGTTGATAAATGGAAGAAAGTGGGCGAAAGTATAGAACCTTGGGGGACACCGGCACTCAAAGGTAATCTAATGCAGTCAACAACTTGCCCCAATGGACGACTGCGATAACCAACAGCTCTGCGTCTAGCCTAAGCATTGATCGTCCAGTCTCCCACAAGACTCATGCAACGCGGTGTTCAAACAGCGACCGTTTCTCTTTTTAATGTTTTCGCAATTACCAATTCGCTATTTGTAGGACCATTTTCCGATGTAGACAAGGAAGGTGACCAGCCAAAATCCAAGACGTCCACCCCGGACCATACTGAAGCATGGAAGCGTATCGATACCGCTTGTCAGTCACGAGCGCAGGCCTGTTTACAGAAAAAAATCAATTACGAAGTTGAGTGGAGGAGGAAGCGAAGGCAACCCATGATGATGAGTCGAAAACTTCGATCCGGGCTGTTTGTTTCCATCCCCAACTTCTTCATCCAAAACTAAAACTGTCTTACATGAAACCCCCATTCGTTACTAGCAACAAAATAGTGTAATGAAGCGCGAGGCATGATACCTGCAGAGAGCTTTAGTGGATCTAACTAAATGGTAGCTAACAGAAATGTGATAGATTTATCATTTATTTGAAGAATAACCTGTAAAGAGGAAAGAACAATAGCTTGGATTACATTCATCGGTTCCACAAGAAGACTAGTGGGTACGAGTGAAAAATGGCAATATCCATTAAAGATAATCATCATCTTTGCTCAGTGAAAGTAAGTCCTCTGATCGCTGACAAAAGCGCAGCCCCCACAGTTATTAGTAATTGGTAAGACAGACAGGGATTAGACCTAGTTTAGCTACGGCGAAGAAAGTAAACCTCCATGGTTGGCAAAGAGAGTACATGAGCTGACTGTGCATACATGCCTTTTAAAGAACTCTGACCTGATAAGAAATGACAACAAGAACACCACTGTTGTCGGTTAACAACAATATGCCGTCAACCAACTGGTTGCAGAGTCTATCGGACCATAACCTGGAGGGTGCGTGACACCTATGCTCACGAATAGCTCCATGCATTTCTGCATGCCTCGTGCCCACGTCATCTGTTGACCACTGTGGGGTTTCCTCCAGCCCGGAGCGGCTAAAGCGAATAAAGCGCGATGCGGTAGATGAAATCCGGTCATGCATTATCCATGTCATAGCCATCGAAGCCTACCAATCCCAATTCTCGTATTCAACTCACAGTTACTTGTGAGTAGTGTGTTTGGGATGATCGACATTGATTGATTTGACTGACTATCCTTGGGACTTCACCTTCACG